TGATAAATGTCAAAATATAATAAGCAAAAAGACTATGTGTCATCACTCAAGTGATTGACTTGTAGGGCACTTATGACTAGCACTAATGGTGATAAAGACATCATGAACACGATTCTAAAATATCATATAAGAAGAATTCAACCATATGGAGTATCTTAAGATTATATAAAGGAAGTGACACTACTTACAGTAAGGAAGGGATCAATCTATGCAAGAGTACACCACTAAGTTTCGATAATAAATAACGATGCTCGAAATTTCTCTCGAAAATCACTCGACGATGATGATGAAATACATAAATTTATACACGATCGAGTCTCCTCAAAGTATATAATATTTCGATCACTAGTAACATAGTGGTAATAATTGAGAGAAAGAATTATACTTGTAATAAGAAACCCTTGAAAACGACTAAGAGGAGCTACTCAAAGGCCCAAAAGAATTTCAGTTAATACTTCATCTTCTTTTTTAAAAAAAAATTATTTTATGATCATTATAAAATTATCATTCACTCTAGAAAAAAAATTAGAAGGTTCATCTAGAACTCTTCCCAATGAAGTTATTAGAAAATAATCAAAGTTGGTGAATCATGGCCACGACTGTGGATGATAGCTTCATTAAACTTTCACCAATCTCACACCTAAGTCTATAGATGATGGCTAAACTAAAAGTTATAAGCTCAAATTGAAGTCTTGGTCAAAAGATTTAAGAAGAGCTCTTCATCACAAAGATCCAAATAAAGAAAGGAATTATTGGTGTGATTTAGGATACCAAGTGCCAAAAGAACTTCATCTTGATTAGCTTGGTTAAAAAGCTTGGCCTCAATCTAGAGATGACATTATATCTATACCCATATTATCTTGGATGGCTTTATAATGATGTGGAGATGAAGATCAACCAATAATGCAAGATATGCTTTACTATTATAAATGAATTCATCAAGAGGTGACATATGAGGTGGTTTCACTTGATATATACCAAGTCATCATTGGGAGCCTCTACTTATAAGATCATGATGTCATATATGTTTGTTAAGTCTAGAAGTATCTACTCCAAAAGAATAGATGAAAGTTCTTCATCACCTAAGATATAATAGATTTGATGAAACACTAAACATTCATCGGCTAAGCAAAAAAGATGGTGAATGCTTGCCGAAGCTCATGGATCTTATTCAATATACAAAGAACCAAAACCTTCTTTTAACATAATGAAAGAGGAGGAAAAACCAAAAGGGACAATAACAATCTCAAAACCTCGAGAAGATAAAAAATGCCCTCGAGTCGATGAAGATCAGCAACAACGAGAACCTCATCAAAATGACATACATAGATGACATAGTCGAGCACAATGATGCTAACCATATCGATCAACTAAAGCGAAACATCTAACCTACAAGTGTAGAGAGAACAAGTCCCAAAGTAAGATTCAACAAGACATAGATCACTTAATTATAGGATCCATAATTAGGGATGATCAAGCAAAATTTGAACCAAACTCTAATTTAGCCAAACTAGAGTTCTGACTCCAATTTGATCTTGATTGAACTATACTAAGACAAAGGCTAATTTGAAGTTCAAAAATTAGATTCAAGTCAACTCTAAGTTCTAAAGGGTATAAGGGCTCTTCAAGCCGTAACTACATTAAAACTCTCCAAGTCAGTATCTAGCTATGATTCCATCCCTTATAAAAGAAAAAAAAAAAAAGGACCCATCTAAAGTATCCAATAGTAACTCAATCTCAACCTTAATACGATAAATCTTAATACCATAATGATTAGTATAGCCCCTATCAACTAAGATAACCATAATTAAATTAGTGTTTTCGATGACCTTAGTCTTATAGATGTAAGAGGTTACGACACAACACATTAAAGTATCCGAGTCATGTTCTCCTTTAAATATATAATCCATCTTAGGTTGATAAAAAGAAGAAGAAAAAGAAAAAGAGAAGAAAGAATATGGGGACAAAACTTCCACTGTATAGGTCCAATGTGTAGGACGACAGCAGCGCTCTTCTTTCCACTTGAGCGGGGGACCCGAGCGCGTGTGGATCGATCGACCTCAAGCATATGGGCGTGAGTGGGCAAAAAGCACACGGCGTGGCTCAGCCCCACCAATGGACCTTCGCTGTTGTTGTGCATGCTGCTGTTGCGTTTCCTTCTGTCATGCACCATCCACGGAGCGGATATGGTTTCTTTTCTCTTATGGCCTCCTTTATCTTCATCTCGGCCGTGAATGGCCAAACCCTAATCTCTTTCATATCCAGACTGGGCAAAAGGCTGTACCATATGAGCACCATCTCTTGGCCTCATGCAGCATGGCTTTCACAAGTTATGATGACCATGTTCTCTGTGTTCCATGGTAGCTTGCTTGAGCTACAGCTCTTCTGGTCAACAGTGGCAGTGAATACAGGATGGTCGCACGCCACTGCAAATCCAGGTTCTTTTTGACGCTTTAATGGCGTCATATAGATCAAGTCAAAGAGGAGAACTAAAGTTTTTTTAACCATATTTTCCTATGATTTGATAGAACAATGTCTAGGATCCTTATGGAAGTGCTTCAACAGGGTGGCTTCGAGTCTTTGAGTGTAAAACTCGTCGAGCCAATCACATGTACAAAATCAATGATGTGGTCTTCAGTAAAATTTTTCTTTCTCATCATGAATCAGGTTGAATTTTGAAGTTACATCTCTCTCTCTCTCTCTCTCTCTCTCTCTCTCTCTCTCTCTCTCTCTCTCTCTCTGTGTGAATAAATAAGCTTCTGTCTTAATTCGTTCAAGTAATCTCATCTTAAAGGAAGTTCTGAAGATATATGTTTGTAGGTTTGGCACGCCCTTCCTCGTCACCGCTAGCCTTGACGATTACGGTTAACTCCATATGCAAGATCCATTAGCCTCATCAGAATGATTGCGTTGTATCTGTATTTGAGGATCGCCGTAGAACTCTAGTTGTGTGGCCTTTGCATGGTCAACGCTGCAATTTAGCTCATTCTTCGAACACAATTTAGCAGAAATCGTACAGAATTTAGCAGAGCACTGCGAAACTCAATGTGAATTCGACATTCTATTTGTTCTGAGGCAAAAGTTATCTTTCAACCCCACAATGTGTACCACCGTATCCAGAACTCCAAAGTATGCTTCCAAGTGGGTCTCTGTTCTGGTTATGGAGACCTTGCTCGTGAGCAGGTAGGTCCTGCTTGGAGTGCAATAGCACAACCAATCGTGCGCTATTCCAATAGTTCCAGCTTAGGATGCAGGAAAGCAGCGCTGCTGAGGAGTGGAGAAAAGGCTAAGAACGCATCCAAGTGATAGAGTAGAGTAATCTGTTGATGCATGCAGTGATCATAGTAAAATGACCGGACGAGTTGGGTGAGGAGAAAACGTAAGGAATATTTTGCTTAAAATTTCTTCGATTGGTGTAGTGGGCATGGGAAGATGGAGTTTGCACTACAGCAGGAACGCAGAAGCTTGAGAAGTTTCGTGTGGGGGCACACATGGTGTGCACTGCTCGCCGTGCATGTATGTGCCCAGCCACTCCCAACTGACAAGCTCCACACATTACACTTCAACCATCTCCACTCACCATCTCTATAAATGCCCAACCTCTTGCTGTGTTCCATCCCATCCTCAACGCGAACTTGGTGACATGGGCACTTCTCCCGCTAGCGTTGCTGTTCCACTCCTAGTGTTGCTGGGTGCAACCATATGTATTGCCTCTAGGGTGCGCTTCGTAGAGACAGCGCCATATGGTGCAGGCCACGGCATTGGTGGGGGCTCCGGCTACGCTGCTGGAGGTTCTGGCGGTGGAGGTGGTGGTGGCTCTGGCGGTGGCTATGGAGTTGGGGGCCAGTTCATCCCTGGTTATGGTACCGTAGGGGAACATGGCGTTGGCTATGGTAGCGGCTACGGCAGTGGTGGCGGTGGTGGTGCCGGCTATGGTGGTGGAGGTGGGGGAGGTTCCGGCGGTGGTTATGGAGGTGGGGGAGAGTCTGGTGGTGGTTTAGGAGGAGCTTATGGAGGTGGATACGGTAGTGGTGGAGGGAGCGGCGGTGGTGTTGGATATGGAGCCGGAGGCGAACATGGGATTGGCTACGGTGGTGGGGGAGGTAGCGGTGGAGGGGCTGGTTATGGTGCTGGATCTGAACATGGGGTTGGCTATGGGAGTGGAGGTGGTAACGGCGGTGGCTATGGTGCTGGCGGTAATGGAGGTGGAGGTGGAGGTGGTACAGGCGGTGGTGTCGGTTATGGTGCTGGCGGCGAGCATGGAGGTGGTTATGGTGGCGGCAATGGCGGTGGCGCGGGCTATGGTGGCGCTGGCACAGGCGGAGAGTATGGTGGTGCATATGGAGGTGGTGGCGGTAAGGGTGGCGGTGGGGGTAGTGGCTTCGGAGAAGGTGGAGAACATGGTGTAGGTTATGGAAGCGGTGGTGGCAGTGGCGCTGGTGGTGGGTATGGTGCTGGAGGAGCACATGGCGGTGGATATGGTGGTGGTGGTGGTAGTGGCATCGGTGACGGATATGGAGCTGGAGGAGAGCACGGTGTTGGTGGAGGTGAAGGATCCGGAGGCGGCGCAGGGTACGGTGCCGGCGGGGAGCATGGAGGTGGGTTTGGTGGTGGAGGAGGAGCTGGTGGCGGTGCAGGGTACGGTGGTGCAGGAGGTTATGGAGGTGGCGTTGGCGGTGGATCAGGTGCCGGAGGTGGATATGGCGGAGCTGGTGGATATGGAGGTGGGGCTGGTGGAGGTTCAGGTGTCGGAGGTGGACCTGGTGGTTATGGAGGCGGCGCTGGTGGTGGTTCGGGTGCCGGAGCTGGCTACGGTGGTGGACACGCTCCTTGAGAGAGACCTAAAGAAGCCCTTGGAATCTATCATCTATTATAAGTTATTTACGCTATAAAAAAAAAAGAATAATTATATTGTTGTTGGTGCTGTGTATGGGCTTCAAGTTTGGTATTGCAAGCTCAGCAATGTGTGGATTGATCGTATGAGGGTACTTTTAAAACCTAAATTCCTATTTGCATAATGTTGATCGAGTCATTATTCGTTTTGTGTTGGATAAGGGATCATTTGGTTGATCAATCATTAGTGTTGACGGACTTAATCTTGGTTATGAGTTCGGTCGATCGAGGTGCGGACGCTTCCTTTAGCGTCAAAATTCACTCCTCAATTAACGTGAGACTAAATGATCATACGATAAAATCTCATGCTTAATAATAATATATAAATATCATTAGCGAAACTAATGAGATAAACTCTTTCTCCTTTTGCATATGTCGTATGACAAAGTCGAGCCTTTATGGTACGAAATATCTACTTCTCATGATCAACAGTGATCGCACACCCTCACCCCTAAAAAAAAAATTAATAAAAATTAATTTATCCAAAAGATAGACGTAACTATCAATTTATCGATTATCGTTGGATCACTCATACTGTTATCTACATCTCCAATGGTAAGTTGGATGCGTAAGTTAGATGAAGAGAAAAATACTTTTAATCAAAAAATAGATATATTTATTATTTATCATAAATTAATAAACATATAAAAGCAAAATAAAAAGTGACTTTAATAAAAAAAATAACCCACAAGTTTGACATTTAAATTATTTAAAATAATTTTGAGTTGGCATCATAATCCATAGGGATTGGGAGTACAACACAATTACCACTTGGGTTCTACAATTATAAGCTAAGCGCGTGAGACCTGTAATCATTAATAGTTATTTATTCACTATTAGAAGGAGATAAAAACATGATAGAAATTAATAGCCTTATGCTTTAGATTAATTAAAGATATGAGTTACAATTTAGGGTGCGAGTTAGAAGTACAATCCAAGCTTCATTAACTATCATCTCTATTGATTCTATCTTAATTGATTTGGACTCCTTATCTCCATCACGTAAGTCGAGTGAGATGCATATTCATATATTCGTTAAAAAGAAAAAAAAAATATTTAATCCAAATAATAATAATAATATTATTATTAAATTTAATATACATTTAATAAGCACAAATATTATAACATGGTAATAAAAAAGGCAAAATCCTTGAAAAAACAACCCTTTAGTTTTTTTTTTGTTTAGAGTGACCCTATTTGGAGTTTTTCTAATTTTTAAAATAACAATTATACCCTCAACAACTCCTCCTTTGTCCCTTTCACTGTATCTCTCTCTTTTCAAACTCATATTGAACCAAAAAATTCACTAATCAACTCATTTAATTAAAAAAATAATTCAAATGAATTGATTTAACCGACTCAAAACTTAGATCACTCCAAAATAACTCATAGTTAATAAATTAAATAATATATTTTATATTAATAAAAATAAAATATAAAATTAATCTTAAACTTATATATATAAATACTATAAAAATAATAAAAATTAGATTAAAAGGATAAATTGTTTGAAAAAGTTTGAAGTTTTTATTTTATTTTTGGTTTATTACCATGGAGTGTCTCCTTTTTTATTATTATTATATACCATCTTTTTTGGTTTAGTATCATAAAGAGCCTCTAAGTTTATGACCTCCATCTCGTTAGTCGTCACCAAACCCCTTCTCTCTGTTGGTGTGACTACCAACTTGATGGCAAATTGGTGTTACTAAGACATAATAGAGGGGAACACATACGAAGGGGAGCTGATTATATTGAGATCTAAGGAAGGAGAAAAAAATACACACAAGGGAAAAAGGGTGGGGAAATGACACTGAGGTAAAGGTGGTTGATACGGTCTATTTTAGGTCTAAGACACGTTACAGTCGATATCATATGCCAGGTCAGAATCTGTACCAAGGCGTTGTTCGACCCACGTACCACCACGCTAACTCAAGGATCAGCAAGGGGAACACTCCCACATGCCAAGTCGGAATCCGTATTGAGATGCTGTTCCACATGTCCTGTCCCAAGAACCTGGGGCGGCGCCGTCTGACACCACTCCGTGTGTCCCGAGACAATGACCGGTCAGAAGTGTTGTCTCAACTCTCGAAGATCAGGGGTCATGCCAAACCCGCGAGCAACCTACCCTCGTACAATAGTATAAAAGCCCCTGGTCGGCATCCGGCTAAGAGGAGACAAAAAAAAATAACTTCAACCCATAATTGACTTGCTCGTCGGAGGGGCCAAAGTCGGAAATCACCTGACGAAGGCCATTTTTGTAGGCAAACGACCACCCACGAGCCCCAAGGGCCTCGACCTGGGAATTGTCATCCTGCGAACGAAGGCGAGCTGCCAACCAGCCCGAGAACGGAAAGACGTCGCTCGACGCAAACAATACCCGGATTGAGAAACGCTGATCAACACCCCGCCGCGAGGGTCCGACCCACCTTGGCATCCAACTTAGCCGATAAAGAACTCCCGACATCGACCCGTGGACCAGGCCATACTGACTCACCAACCACGACACATTTATTCTCCAATAGTGGTGACGAATGATATAAAGGCCAAAGGTGAGCTCATTTTACTTTCTAAAATTAAGAGACACTCCACATGAAAAATAAAAAAGGAGCGTCGTATGAAAAAAAAATAAAAATTTGAGGTTTTCTTAAGAAATTTACCCAAAATAATGGCTTAAGTTGAAGTTTTTAAGGACCGAAATAAATAAAATATTACGTATTTTAAAATTTTAAAAATCATAAAAACTAGTCATGTAAGATTTCGTAATTCATTTTAAAGGTATCTTCGAGATGAACATTTTTTATAAATTATGAAAGCGAGTTATACTGTTTTTGAATAGAATCTAAAGACAATGTAACTTATGTCTCTAAAATTTTTTTCCTTAAAACTTTAAAAAACCTTCTTTAATAATAAACTGGTTGAACAATTATCTTAAATTGAGTGAAATAAAAAAAAAACAATTTCAAGCTGTTAAAACCTGAAAAATAAGAATACCTATTTTAAAGGCTACAGAATAAATAAAATAATTATTTAGGCCTTTGCGGATTATTTATAAAATTTTTTAAAAAAATTGAAAGTTTTAAAAATAATGGAATATGAGTAATAGAGTTTTTTAATGAGGTTACATTATTTTGAACGTAGTGCTACCGTATTCAAAAACAGTGTAACTCAAGTATTTAAATTTTTTTATTACATCAAAACTTCATAAAATATTCTCTAATAATATTCAAGTGATTGTTTTTATCTCAAAGTGGTAGTAAATTCACCTTAGGGTAGATTTATAAAAATAACATTTTTTTCATGCTTTTAAGGGCTAAAATATCTATTTTAAATGCTCTAAAAAAAGAAGAAAAAAAGTCATTTAGGCATTTTCATGTCTTTTACAAATTAAAAAAAATCTGAAAATTTAAGAATTCTTAGAAAGAGTGAATTTTTGAGTTATATTATTTTTTTATTGAGATTAAACTATTTTTAAATAAGACCCAAAAATACTGTAACCCCATTAAAAAAATAGTGCAACTCAGATCTCTAAAAAAATTTTGTATCCTCAAAATTTAAGAAAACATTCTATAATAATATTTAAATAGATTTTATCCCAAGGGAGTTGTAAATTCACCTTAAAATGGATAAATTTAAGAAAATAATATAATTTCATGCTTTAATGGCTGAGAAAAATAAAAAAATATAAAAATAACATCTATGTTTTCTTAAGTCATTTCCATGGTTTTATATAAATCCAAGATATTTTGAAAAAAGTGGAATGTGAGTTGCATTGTTTTTTATTGAAACTATAAGACACCGAGATACTATAATTTCATGCTTTATTGAACATTATTAGTTTATGATCAGTCTAGTGTCTTTCATTTGGCAATTTCAAGAGACATTTGGATTTAGCTTAAAAGGAAGGGAAAAAATGAAAAAGAGAAAGACAAATTATTTGTTGAGGCTATTTTTATCCAATTAAAAAAATTAGAGATTTTTTTTTGGAAAAAACGAATAAAAAAATAGAACTACTAAGTGAAAAAAAAAGGAGAGTTTATTTAAAGTAGGAATTTATTTTATGAAGTTTATCCTAACAAAAATGGATTTTTCCAGTGTCGTATTTGGGAAAAAGAACACTTGTCTTCAAACTATTTGCCAACAGCGTATCGGTGAAGAAGTCTAAGTCTGCCGAACTTGTGTCCGTGCCGCCTCTTCCCTTTTTTAAAGCGTCGTGGTGGTTTCCCTCCCTCCCCCTTCCCGAACCCTTCTTGTACCACCAAATTGCCAATTCTTTAGAACCCTAATCTCTCTTCAATAAGTCGGCCTCTTCCTTCCTTCGCATCAACATCATGGTACTGCAAATTTTCATTGTATTCTAGGGTTTAATTGTCGTTCTTTTTGTGTGTGTTTGATATCTCGACGTCTATTCCATTTAGTTCGGTCGTGATTTTGCCGACGCGAAACTGTTTTTCCTTTCGCATCTGTCTATGACTTACGAGCCCGGCGTCGTGGTAAGGATTCCTTTACCTTCTTCGTATCGTCTACGTTGTGATCGGCTCTTGAGAAAAGGTTCCATCTTGGATGTGATTTTGACGCGAATCCGTTTGCCGCGGTTGGTACCATCGCAGGGAGCTGCTCTCTTCAACTTGGGGAATACGTGCTTCCTCAATGCGGTTCTACAGTGCCTCACGCATACCGTGCCCCTCGTACAGAAGATCCGCAGGATGGATCATCCTTGTTCCTGTTGTGGTATGAGATGTTATGGTTCATCCTTTAATTCCTCTCTTCTCAGATTTGCGTTTATTTGGGATTTGTACTATTTGCTGACTCTAAGACAAAGTAATGATTGATTCTGGAACTCCAGGTGATATTGGAGGTTTCTGCTCTTTCTGTGCCTTGAAAGGACACATCAATCGTTCTTTGTTTCTTTCAGGATATGTGATCTCCCCAACAGATTTTGCTAAAAATTTGAACAGTATGCTTCTCATTCTCCTATTATGCCATCTATTTATTGTTTTGTTAATGTGCTTGATACATGCTGATGTTTCTATATGAAATCTGGAGTTTTGTTGTTCCTATTATTCTTATATATCGTATACCAAATATAGTTTTCATTTTAAATGATATCCTGGATTGTCCTGTGATCGTTTTACGATCGAC